GTTGCCATCCAGAGGGAACGGGACAGGCTGGAGAGGTGGGCCCAAGCCAACCTCATGAAGTTCAACAAGGCCAAGCGCAAGGTCCTGCACATGGGCCAGGGCAATCCCAAGCACAAATAAAGGCTGGGTGGAGACTGGATTGAGAGCAGCCCTGAGGAGGACTTGGAGGTGTTGGTTGATGAGAAATTCAACATGAGCCAACAATATGCACTCGCAGCCCGGAAAGCCAACCGTATCCTGGGCTGCATCAAAGAAGTGTGGCCAACAGCTTGAAGGAGGTGATTCTGGAGCAGGTCCAGAGGAGGGCCACGAAGATGATCAGAGGGCTGGAACCCCTCTCCTATGAAGACAGGCTGAGTGAGTTGGGGTTGTTCAGCCGGTGTGTCCGGGGACATCTTACAGCAGCCTTCCAGTACCTAAAGGGGGCCTACAGGAGAGCTGGGGAGGGACTTTTTGCAAGGTCATGTAGCGATAGGACGAGGGGTAATGGCTTCAAACTGGAAGAGGGGAGATTAAGAAAAGATATTAGGAAAAAAATTGTCACTATGAGGATGGTGAGACACTGGAACAAATTGCCCAGGGAAGCTGTGGATACCCCATCCCTGGAGGTGTTGAAGGCCAGGTTGGATGGGGCTTTGAGCAAACTGGTCTAGTGGCCGGTGTCCCTGCCCATGGCAGGGGGGTTGGAACTAGATGATCTTTAAGGTCCCTTCCAACTCTAACCATGCCATGATTCTATGACTTCCCTGTATCTCAGCTCATACCTTGCTGATAAGTAAGAGAGATTTGCCTTTGCTTCAAGTACCATCATGTCACATGCACAACAGTAGCATGCAGTAGGATGACGGCTATAGTCTTGTAGTGCCCGAGATTGTAATTGTACACAGTTGAAAAGACACCTCTTATTCCGTTAAAAGTTTGAATGTACTTTTCTTTCAGAATACTAAGTCCTATGAACTTTTCTCTTCTTTCTTTTACTGCATCTCTGAGTATACATTGCTACTTAGCATATCAGGTAGCTGAAATCACTTCTCTGTCCATTAAAGCAGTTACTAATCCAAACTCGCAGAGAAAAGGGCAGCGTATAGAAACAAGCTGTAAATGTTACTGAAAAGACACATATAGGGAGTGAGAGTGGGCTCCAAGTCAGGCAGGGAGGGACGTGAAGCGAAAGGAGGCGGTGGGCAGAGGTGTTCCGAAGGGACAGTCGGATCAACGTTGCCATCTACTGGGGAATGGCAGGAGTTGCCAATGGCGTGGGGCTGGGCAGCACTGCTCTCTGCTATTTTTCTCCCGAGTTTGAAAGCGTCCAGATAATAGCGTGTAAAAGGTAAGCACCTGAAAAATAAAAGCCTCCTGCCCAGGTTCTTTCTAGCTGAGTTTAGAGAAATTCCGCAAATTCCTTCCAGAAGTTGGGGAAGGAAAAGAGTTCATGGACTAAACCTGCCAGTGCTTTCCTCTTTCCCCAGGAAAAAAAAACCACCAACGCTATAGAGGTTACCTCCAAGCAGTTACTACTGGTCTGTAAGTCTTCTATATGCTTCTTTGTAAAGTATTCTCTATGAGGCGTTTTTGTTCA